AGCCAGCCTCTGTATATCTCTGGGCTCCCAGCCCCAGTAGCAGCCTTAGGGAGCTGGGTCTCCATCCTGGGACCTCTTCTTCCTCCTCTGAGAATTCCCAGACTTCCCTGGTCTTTCTGCTTTTTACAGTGCCCAGTGTCCTTTCCCACCAGAGCTGGCATAGACTAGGACAATATGCAAATGGGTATGGATACAGGCAAATCCCAGAGGCCCAAGAGACTGCCAGGTGGGAACAGCACCTCCTCCTGGGGCCTGCCTGGGTCCTTTTCACAGGTGCTCAATTGAACTGCCTACTGTGGGCTACTCAGGTTGGCATATACTCCTAGAACTTCTGCTATATGCAGGGTGAGGGGAGGCAGGAATGAGACAGTCCTGGGCTCCATCCGTGCCTCACCACTTACTGGCTGTGTGACTCCGACAAGTGACCTCCCCTGACCTCAGTTTACCCAGATGTGAAACCGGAGTATACCTGTCCTGTGAGTGGAGGTGAGCCAGGACAAGGGTCTGGCCTGCGCTGGGCTGGGGTCAGTTCCCTTCCCCACCAAGGTGGAGGAGGGAAGCAGGCAGTGCCTAGCTGTCCTCACTGCCACTCCGTGTGGGCTCTGCCCTACTTCAGCCCCAGTTGCCAGGGAACCACTGGGTTCCTTGCTAACCTGAATTTCTCTATTGAGGGGTGGCCTTTGTCTTCCTGCCTCGGGTGCGACCACCGCTGAGGGAGGCCCGTGTCCAGCTGTGTTTCTAGGCAACCCTAGCCTCTGGAAACTGAAAGGAGGTCCACAGGCCCTGGAGCCACTGGCTGGGAAACAGAGTAGCTGTCTCCCCACCCTCCCTGCTCTGGATGGTCACCTGCTCCCACCTCCAACTCCCCCAGTTCAGACAGCCCGGTGAGCCTGCTGAGACCAAACTGTTCCGTGCCTCTCCCTGCTTAACCCTTCAAGGCTTCCATAGGCCCTGGAGGAAAGTGCAAGTTTCTCAACTTGCAGCTGAGTTTGGTGTGACCTGGGCACTGTCACCAACCTTTCCAGACTCCTCCCCTATGCCCTCCCACCCCCCCGATTCTCACCATGGCTAATGGGGCACCTCCTGTGTACCAGGTACTGAACATAAATATAAAAGAATCTCAAGTATATCTCACACCTTCCTGTCAGATGTGTGCCCTTCCCCCTCCACAGTTTACACATGGGGAAACTGAGGCACGGTGAAGTGTGATGAATGCTTATCTGAGGGCCTACTCTGTGTCAGGCCTGTGCTGAGTACTTAATGTGCGATCACTCATTCCACCCTCTCCACAGCCCTCTTCAGGGGGTCCACAGCCACCAAGCCAGTGAAGAAACCCCCCTGCCTAGCCCAGCTTCTGGGCTCCTTCACCATCAGCCTGCTCTGCCCTCCCTACCCTGTATAGCTGGGCCCTCTACTGGGAGCGCCTTTTCTGCCTCCCCACCCCATTCTGTTCAGCCTGGCTCTGGACATGGAGGGCAGCTCATGGTGGGAGGGGGCTGGGTAAACAGGATCTTCACCACAGGGCAATTAATGCTGACCAGAGGTGATGGTTGGGGCAGCTTCCAGGAGGGAGTGACTTTGAGCTGAGCTCTGAATGAAGAGCAGGTGTGGTTGGTGTCGCCCAGGTGATGGGAGGGGTGTCTGGGTAAACGGCAGGTACGGGTACAGGTATGGTGTGTCTGAGGGACAGGGACCAGGAAGCTCAGGGTGGTTGTGTGTGCATATGGTGGGGGATTGGTAGGGGCGCATGGGATGCCATCCTGAGGGTGGTGGGAGCTGGCCCAGGGCCAGGGCCAGATCTCAGTGTCAAGACACCTGGGCTACAGGGTGGGCCTGCCCTGGAGGCCAGGGAGGGGACTGGGGGCAGGAGGGGTGGGCACAGGCCCTGGGAGATCTTGGGGAGTGTACAGCTGAGGAGGGAAAGGGGAAGCTGCCGGAGGCCTGGGCAGGAGGCACAGCTTCCCCTTTTTCTGAGGCCTCCAGGGCCGCACATCCCTGGGGCTATATAGCCTCCAGCTTCCACCTCAGCCTGGGCTCTGCTCATGGCTTTGCCAGTTGGCTTTTACCCAGGGAATTTCTGGTTCACATTGTTTGGGCACTCTTTGGAGGGCAGAGTCTGAGGAAGCTGTCCCAGCCTCATGAGCCTGTTCGGTGGAGGCCCCAGGAGCAGGCTTTGTGGTGACAGAGCAGACACCCGACCTTGCCGCTGTCTGCCGGGAGCAGGGGCAGGTGGATGGGCTGACGCGGCTTAATCACCCCCCTCCCCAGGTGCGGAGGAAAGGAAGGGGTGCGGGAGGAAATCCTGTGACCCACTTTAGGCCCATTACCTCATGTGAACCTCACGACAGCCTTGCCGTGGAGGTGAACAGCCCCGTCTTGCAGGTGAGGAAGCTGACCTGTGAGGTGGGGCGAGGGGCTTCCCACAGGGGGTGGTGGCGGTGGGGAAGGAGTGGCCTCTAAGCCAACTTCCTTCTGCGCTAAAGCCCGTCATCCAGTGTGGCCGGGGTGCGTCTCCCGTCAGGTGCACTGGGGCTGGAGAGCGCCGCCCTTGGCCCTCTGGGGCCTCAGTGTCCTGGCTCTGACAGCTGTCCTACAGGAAGCCGTCAGGAGGCGCTGGCTGTGGGAGGTCACTGACTGACTGCTGTCTGGCCTTCAGGGCAGGCCAGTGCGGTCCAGATGGGGTCTTCGCAGACCCCCTTCCAGCCTAGGGGCTTCTGTGTGAACTTGCTTCTTGGCCTCGTTCCAGCGCTCCGGTGTAGCTCTGGCGTGCACGCGCGTGGGCCTCCTGCCTGACTGGGCAGGTCCTGTGGCGGCTCAGTCTGGGCTGAGCGTGGGGCCGGGGCAGCCAGACTGGTGTTAAGTGCCAGTTTGAGCTAATTTGAAGGTGTGTAATTAGAAGGCACAAGGGTACCCGGCGCGGGTGTCTGAATGTGCCGGAACGGGCCCTGGCTGGCTTTGTGTCTGGGCCTTTGGACCCTCACTCTCCTCCTGGAAGCCTCTAGATCACTGAGCTCCAAGTCTGTCTGCAGATGAGCAGCTGCACAGCCTCTTCCTGTGGACTCAGGTCACTCAGCAGGTGCCACCCAGGGTCAGGAATGGCTCCAGGGCTCTCTCTGTGGTTGTTTTGCCTTTTGCTTTTCACCCCGTGCCCCAGCCCTCTGGGCTGTGGGGACATCCTGGGGACTTGGGGTCAGCTCTGTGGATTAGATCCCTTGAAGGACAGGGGAGGGAGCCTTGGGGGGACAAGCTTGAGGTGGGAACTGGGCTTGGGCAGGGGGAAGGGATGCTTTGGGGCAGAAACTGGAAGCAAGACTTGTGACCACATTTGAGGAGGGACAGGTGGGGGGATGATTCGGGGGATGCCATCTGTTGGTTATTGACTGCCGGGTGTGGCCCTCACCCTACTCTGTAGGCTGGCCTTCTTCTGTCTCTGGTTTTCCCCTGAGCTGGGGCTGAGAGCAGCTGCCAGTGACCTGGAAAGTCCCCAGGATAATGTGACTGCTGCCCTTATCCCTCCCCTGGGTGAAACTCAAACCCCTGGCCCCTCCAAGGTCTGTGCCAAGCCAGGCCGCGATGTCGTGCAGGCGGGTGGATCGGTTTCCTCGGCTCCTTTTCCAGGCGGGAAGCCTGGGCTGCCTCTCAGGAGAGGGGCTGTCATGTGACCTGGGACCTACTGCATGTGGCGCCTTTCCCGCTGGGCTTGACATCAGACAGCTCGGGATTCTGCCTGCTGGGGACCCTGGGCCAGTGGCCGGGCTCTCTGAGGCTACGTACGGCCCTGCTGAGGCCCAGCACAGCTTCCCTCAGCCTCCTGGACCTGAAGCCAGGCCTCTTGGAAATACATCATGGAACTTCCTCGTTGTGCTGCAGTCCCTTCTGTTGTCTCATTCGAATCCTTCCTGCTGTCTCAAGCTGGCCAGAGACTTCTCTAGAAGAGGCCACAGTCTGGGCCTTGGAGGGGGGGGGCCTCAGCTTCAGGCCAGTGGTCTGCAGAGCCACCACTGATACTTCTAACTTCACTCACTGTGCCCTCTCCCTGCTTTGTTTCGTTTCTCGGCACTTCCCACCAACTGGCAGGGAGACCGCTCTCTCTTTATCTGTTTGCTGTCGGTCTCCCCTGGGATGGGGCTCCCTGAGGATGGAGCCTCGGCTGTCTCATTATGCCTATTTCTCTAGCGCCAAGGGCAGTGTGTGGCGCATAGCAGATGCTGGAGTGATGGTGTAAGGCTGAAGGTTGGCTGCCAGGACCCCCACCCCCCAATAGTTCTGCCCATGGCACTGGGGCCAACATGGCATCAGACACGTCCCAGCTGTCCTTGCAGGAGTCAGAGGGTGTAGACAGTGGCCATGTGGGAGAACAGGACTGTGATGGGGTGGGGGTGGTAGGTCACACAGCAGCTGTGGGAGCCAGACCCAATTTGGGGGCAAGCTTCTAGAGAAGCTTCCAGAAAGAGAGGCCTTTGCAATGGGCTTTGAAGGGTGAAGGAAAGGGCCTTCCTTGGAGAAGACCTGGAGGAGTGGAGGCAGAGGAGCATGAGAGGCCATGCAGGCTTCTGCTGGCCAGAGCCTGCAGCTCTGCAGATGAGAGTGGAGGGGCTGGGGCTGGGGCCGCCACAGCCCTCTCATCCCCCCAGCCCATTCACATTTCTTTCCCCCAGCCTCCCCTGCCGATATCACTGGGCACCTGGCTGTTTATGGAAGGGGAAGGAAGCCCTTCCTCCCGTGGGAAGCCTCCCCAGCCTGCAAAGCCCTCGCATGCCCTTCCAGTCTGCTCTGCAAGGCTGCCTCCCAGACAGGGCAGCCATACTCTCCTTGGGCACCAGGGGGTGTAGGGCAAAGTGTCCATGCTCTGCTTGCTCAGCAGCACCCTGCCAACTCCCTGCCAAGTTCTGTCACCCTGAAAGTGGTGCCGGGGGGGACGGCCGCTACTTTCTTGTCCCTGCTGCCCACTGAGCCTCCTCTCCATCTGCCCCAGGCTGGTGACCACCCAGGGTCTGGCAATGAAGCTGAGCCCGTTGTGCTGGCCCCTGTCCTGCCTCCTTGTGGTAAGTTGGGGATGGGCCTGGGGGAAGCCAGAAAAGCCGAATCCTGAGCCCTGCACCCAGCCCTCCATGGAGCAGGCACAGATGCTGCTCAGGAACCCCTGCTGGGGTGGGGCTGGTTACTTAGCTGTTCCTGTGAAGAATCTGGGGTAGTCAGACCCTAGGAAGCACCTCTGGCCTGCCCTGGCACGAGATGGTGACCAAGGAGGGGAGGCCATGGCTGCCTCTACTCATGGCACCCAAGACAGGGGACACATGGCTTTCCCAAGACATGTCTACCCAAGCCTAGTGTGAGTGAGGGGAGAGGGGAGGACTTTCTGGTGTTTATAGGCAAGGTAGGCATGGCTGAGGGCAAAGAGGCCTGGGATTTGGAGCCTGAGAACCTTAGCACCTCAGATGCTGGAGTCCAAGTTGGTCTAGGGACCTCAGACTCCAGGTCCCATAATCAGAGAATCAGGACAACTTCTTGCCTAGAGCTTCTGGTGACTCTGGATTACAGACTTGCTTGCAGCCTCAGGCTGTGTCTTAGAAACTGGTCTGAGGTCCATCTTTCTGCTGTGATGCTGGAAGCTCAAGGAGGACAAGACTTGGCCTTGGGCATCTCTGAGGCCTGCTCCTTGTACAGGAGGCTCCCAGTCTTAGCAGTTCTAAGGAAGTCCTGAGAACCTCTGTGTGACATTCCACCTCCAGGGCAGCTGGCTCTGCCCAACCAGCTTGGGCCAAATTAGAGGATGGGGGGGGTCATCCCACAGCAGGAGGGATTCAGGGCAGACAGTTCATACCTGAGAATGGGAGGCAAAGGGAGCTCTCAGTGAAGTGGGCTGCGGGACACGTGCTAAGAAGATCCTTCTGTTGGAATATGTCATGCCCTGTTTCAATGCAGGGTGTGAATGAGGTGGCCTTGCCACATGGGGAGGTCACAGAGGAGGATGTAGTCCTGAAGACTTAGCTGAGGGCCCAGAATAGGAAGCACCAGCTGCAGACTTGGCTCCAGGATGATAAACAGAGGCTGGTTAATGACATGCCCGGCTGCGATGGGGGTGGAAGGTAGAAGGGGACCAAGTTAGCAGAAGGGGGACTGGAATCTGAGAGGAATTCGGAAGCATTTCCTCCTTATTTTTCTGGTTAGCTGGAAGAGGTATGACTCAGAGACCCACGGGCTTGAGATCCTGATCTGGTCCTGTATGGGGCTTTCCAGCATGTTCCGGAAGCAGATGTGGTTCTCTCCCTACCCAGGCACTGGTGATGCAACAGGCCTGGGCAGAGCAGGTTTTCCTCACAGCGTGAGGGATTGAGGTTAGAAGAGTGTTTCTGGAGCCTGGGGTACGGTGGCCCTGAGTGGTTCATGGTCCCCACCCCGGGGGCCTCAGGTAGTATACAGATGACCCCAGAAACCCCACGCCTAGCACTTCCCACCTCTCTCAACATGCTCCTGCCTGCTGTTCTTCCAGCTGCTGCTCTGGCCTCTGGCCACTTCAGCATCAACGACCCCTTGGCAGTGCCCACCCGGAGAGGAGCCCAACCTGGTGAGCATTGTGCTGCCCATCTTCCCTGCCCTGGGACGACTCCTGGGGGGAGGGGGTGGAGTCCCACACCTGGCCTCCCCAGGGACCTCAGGCCTGGCTCCTGGCCTTGTTCTCACTCTTTCCCTCCCACAGGACCCGGGGCAGAGCACATTATGCAGGTCCTGCCCCCTGGGCACCTTCTCAGCCTCATGGGGCTCCAGCCCGTGCCAGCCCCATACCCGCTGCAGCCTTCAAAGGAGGCTGGAGGCCCAAGTGGGCACAGCGACTCAAGATACATTATGTGGAAGATGTCAGTCTGGGTGAGCCACGGGGATGGGGAGTCATGGCTGGGTGACCAAGACTCTGGATCCTGGGGTCCCAGCCTCACCCCACCTGAGTGGGCCTCAGTCTTCCCATCTGTGAGATGGGATGGGGCAGGACCAATGAGGGTGCCTGGTAGGAAGGGATCCAGCCTCACTTAAGGGTACTTTCTGAGGGAAACTTCAGGCCTCGGTGACATATTCCTTCCCTGCAGGTGGTTTGGCCCTTTGGAGGTACCCCATGTTCCATGTCAGCTGTGTTCCTGGGCACCTCTGGGTACTCATGGCTGTGACAGTGAGTGCACATTGGGCTAGGACTGGTGGGGGTGTATGTGGGAGGGGTCCAATGAACTTGAGCCCAGGAGCCTCGGCAGTGTCCATGTGGGGGCAGTGAGATCCTCCTCCCAGCTCAGGGGAGGATGTGCAGCTGGAGGGTGTCCGGCAAGATGTGGTCAGTCACTCCACTGGCTATGTCTGCTCATCTTGCTTCTGAGTGGCAGGTGGTAGCCATGCTGGAGTCTGGGGGGGCTCACATCCTGACCGGTCCCCTGTACCCATCCCCTCAAAGATGCCCATGTGGATGCATGAGTACATGCACTCGCGCGTACTCACATGCACACGCTCACACACACCTGCACTCCTCTCGCCGCTGGGCTGTTCACCTTCCTTTTTTTGGCAGCTGGCAGGTATGGGGATCTGAACTCTTGACTTTGGTGTTATAACACCACGCTCTAACCAACTGAGCTACCTGGCCAGCCCACTATTCACTTTCTGAAGCAGCTAATTCAGGGACCAGGCCATGGGAAGACAGGATCCTGTGTCCCTGTGCCCAGGCATGTGCTGCCTATGCTGTCCGTTTACCCCTCTGGCCCCAGTACAATGGGAGGACAGGGACTGAGGGTCTGGCCGTCCTGAGGCATCCTTGCTCAGGATGACTGATCAGATGGCCAAAAGGGAAAAAAAGAGGGGAGTGAGCTGGCCTTTGCTTCCCCAGTGTGGTGGGGAGTGGGCTGCTTGGACACATCAGTTCTCCCCCCACCCCACACTAACTCCCTCTGGTCCTCTCTGCCTCCCTGTGTTTGTCTCTGCTCTGTCTTGCCTTCATCCTCTGTGGTGCTCAGCGTGGGGGCGGCGGGCCCGACGTGGCGTGGAGGTGGCAGCAGGGGCCAGCGGCCGTGGGGAGACGCGGCAGCTTGGGAACGGCACGCGGGCGGGCGGCCCTGAGGAGACGGCTGCGCAGTACGCGGTTATTGCCATCGTGCCCGTCTTCTGCCTCATGGGGCTGCTGGGCATCCTAGTGTGTAACCTGCTCAAGCGGAAGGGCTACCACTGCACGGCCCACAAGGAGGTCGGGCCTGGCCCTGGAGGTGGAGGCAGCGGTGAGGCCCGGCCTGGGGTCCTGGTGGGGAGGCCAGAAGGCACAGCTAGCCTGGCCCCAGCTCAGCTTGGGGGCTGTCAGAGGGAACCTTCCTGGCCTGGGGTGGGTCTGACAGGGAGAGGCCTGCAGAGGAATAATCAGGAGGGTTTCTTGGAGGAGCTGCTGTAGAGGGACCACAGAGGAGACAGCTGCAGACTGACCAAGTGGGAGGAAGGGGAAGGGGGCCGAGTGGCAATGGGAGTGGAGCAGAGGCAGGACAGATGATCAAGTGGCTTCAGCGGGATTCCCACCCTGGGTAAGGCCCTGCCCTGCAGTGGGCTTCTAGACTCCTTGGGGGCTACAGTTGTGTTTGTGGTTCAAGAGTCAGACAGCCTTTGACATACTCAAGGTGACCTCTCACCTCTGGCCTGGAGCAGTTGGAATGCCCTGCGTCAGGAGGGCTGGCAGTGTGGCTGTCCTGGGCGGGCACCACAAGGGGCTCGGGTTTCAGCTCCAGGCTGTGGTTTGAGTTACAAGTCTTGGAACCAGAGGGAGAGGCACGTTCTTCCATGAGTACTCCCAGCCCTGGGTCCCTTTTTCTTCTTCCCCACCCCACCCCTGTGCCCTGAAGGGTAGGGTGCCCCACATGCACATCCCTAGGCCCACAGGAGCCTTGTGGCCAAGTCAAGACTGAAATGGCACCTCCCGGGCCAGCACCCCAGGTTGCCACTTCTAACTCCTGACCTGAAGTCTGCAGGGGGCAGGAAGCGGACAGGAACTTTAGACAGACAGGATGGAAGGTGGCAACTCAGCACAATTTTGCCTGGGACCACACTTGTTTTCCCTGGCCTAGTGACTTCCTTTAACTGCTGGCTGCTGTCTGGGTACAAGTTGTGGGAGCTCTGTTTGCTGCTGGGCCTGGGATTGATCACAATGGCCCATTCTCATGCCCTTGAAGTTTGGGCCTAAAGCTGAGCAAGGGCCCTCAGTTAAATACAGTAATTACATAGTCAGGGTGGGATGTAGGCAGGTAATGGGCGTGAAATGGCAGAGTTAAATGTAAATGTTGAGAATTCTGGGCAAGGAGGCAGCCACAGCTCTCTGAGGCTGAGGAGGGAACAGTGCAGGCCCAGAAGAGGCTGATACCATGCCCCCCACATACTTAATAGGGACTGAGGAATTCAGATAGCCCTGAAACCTCTAAGCACCTGGGGCTATTGGGTGCAGGAAGCAGTAATGTTGAGTAGTGAAGGTTACGATGGGCTTCTCTGAGCCTAGAGTCCTGTAGATGCAGAGCTCAGTTGCCTACACCCCCCCCCACACACATACACTCACACGCAGCTCTGCTGCAGGGCTCTGTCATCTACACACACACACACTTGCATGCACACACACATGGCTCTGCTGTAGGGCTCTGTCACCTACACACACACACGACTGCTGCCGGACTGTCACCTACACCCACGCACACCTCCACACATGCATGCACACACACGTGACTCTGCTTCAGTACTCTTGTCACTTATGTACACACACATGGCTCTGCTGCAAGACTCTGGCACCTACACACACACACCCACACACACATGCAGACACACAGCTCTGCTGCAGGGCTCTGGCACCTACACGCACGCATGTCCACCTGCAGGACTCTGTCATGACTCTTAGGAAGGCGTGGGGCTCCCTCTGCCGGCAGATCCTGGTGTAGCGCAGGTGGCTGGAGTCCCTCCTCTTCCCTGTGATCATGGTCCTTCTCTTCTCTTCCCCAGGGATCAACCCCGCCTACCGGGCTGATGACGCCAATGAAGATACCATAGGGGTCCTGGTGCGTCTGATCACAGAGAAGAAAGGTGAGAGAGGGCCTGACCCGACCCCAGTGCCCGGGAGAGGAGAGTCTCCTCCCACAGCCTGCTCCTCAAAGGGCCTGGTGCTCTCTGACCCTGTTGTGCTGCCCCTTTGCCTCCTGTTCTTGCCTGAAGAAGGAGAGAGGAAAAGGCACACATGCCAGGCTGGGGAGGGGTAATGGGTAGACAGGGGGTCTCTGCTGGGACGGGATGGGGGGTGCCACTTATGGCCAGAGCTGGGTTCTGACTGCAGCTGCCCGCAGAGAACGCGGCGGCCCTGGAGGAGCTGCTGAAAGAGTATCACAGCAAACAGCTGGTGCAGACAAACTACCGGCCTGTGCCCAGGTGAGTGGGCAGGTGGGAGCGGGGCAGGGGACAAACCCACAGATAATTAGCCCACTTCCTGAGGACTCACCACTCGGGTATGTTCCCTCTCCTGTCACCCTGATCCCCTCCACTCCCTGCTGTGGTCTCCTGGCCCTAGGCCTGGCCTGCCCTAGTGACCGCTCCCACCTGTACCCTTCTGCAGGCTGCCACCGGCCCCCCCAAGAATGCCACACATCTGCCCACATGGCCACCACCTCCACACTGTGCAGGGCCTGGCCTCACTCTCTGGCTCCTGCTGCTCCCGTTGTAGCCAGAAGAAGTGGCCTGAGGTGCTGCTGTCCCCTGAGGCTGCAGCTGCCACCACTCCTACTCCCAGCCTCCTCCCCAACTTGGCCAGGGCTCCCAAGGCAGGACGCCAGGGCGAGATCACCATCTTGTCTGTGGGCAGGTGAGATGGGCACAGACACAACAGGGACAGGGAAAGACATGACAGCCCAGGAGAGAGGCAGGGCCTTAGATTGAGCCCTGAGCATCCTGCTCAGTGGTGGCCTGCCATTCTTGGGCCTCTCTGGGGAGTGGGGGTGGCCAGGGAGAAGTCAGGATTTCCCAGGTATGCTGCGTCTCCCATGGAGCCCTTAGGTCCCCAGGGCAGGGTCTTGGCCCCCATTGCACCTGGGACCTCTCAGGCCTGTCCACCTGCAACCTAGAGTTCGAGGGATGAGGGCCGGGTTCACATAGCAGAGCGAAGCCCCTGTCTGTGCATGGGAGGGGGCTGGGAAGGGCTTAGGCTCTGGTGTCAACAGGTCAGGCTTTGATGCATGAGCTTGCTGTGTGGCCCTGGCAGGTGCTGTCCTCTGCACTGGGGCTCCCCTGTAATGCAGACAACTGTACCATCTCCTCACTTCACAGGTTCCGTGTGGCTCGAATTCCCGAGCAGCGGGCAAGTTCAGCAGCATCTGAGGTGAGGACCATAACAGAGGCCACGCCTTCAGGGAGTGATCCCCCCAACTCCCCACAACCTGGCCTCCCCCCTGAGCAGCGGGCACTGCTGGGAAGTGGTGGAAGCCATACGAAGTGGCTGAAGCCCCCAGCAGAGAACAAGGCTGAGGTAAGGGCCAGGGGGAAGGTCCCTTTTGTACCTGGGCCAACCCAGGACTGAAGACAGGACAAGGGTGGAGGTGTGGGGGCCACTTTCCTGGAGATCAGAAGCCCCTTGGACTCAGCTCTGACCCCTCACCCCTGCCCCCCAGGAGAACCGCTATGTGGTCCGGTTAAGTGAGAGCAACCTGGTCATCTGAGGGGCTGCCTAGTCTGAGGACACTGAAGCCTTCCCCGGGAGGTTGTGAAGGCTTCCAGGAGGAGGGAGAGCTGCAGCTGGGACTGTGAGGACCACGAAACAATGGCCCAGCAGGCAAAACAACAAAGGCCAAGGCCTGGAGGTGGGAGCGTCCACCCCAGTGAGGAGGCAGGCAGGTCGGCGGGCAGTGTGTGCAGAAGCAGGTTGAGCCCCGTGCCTGTCCCTGCTGCCCCAGTTCCCCCCTGCAGGATGGCCCTGTCCCCTGTGGCTGCCTGGGCCAGATCCTAGGATTCCACAGGACTCTGTACTACCAGAAGCCTGGGCTTGGCAGAGTGGAGGGGCCCACGCCTGGCTCCCCTGGCCCCACACCTTGGTAATTAGCCCCCCCCCCCCCCC